TCATCWTYATTTGTARCCCACCCTATCTCCCCAGATGGACTCTTTGTTCTGTGTATTTCAATRTGAATTTTGTAGAAATACATTTTAATATATGTATAGAATGTGCATCTATATAAATAAAAATGTAATGTTCGTTTGTGGGATTAACATAACTCAAAAACCACTGGACGAATTGACACCAAATTTGGATAGCATACACCTAACAACCCAATGTATGTTTTTCACTCAAAATTTTTTGATTTTGTCATTTKGGAGTTGTAGTTGCTGGGATTTATAGTTCACCTACAATCAAAGAGCATTCTGAACTCCTCCAATTATGGAATTGAACCAAACGTGGCACACAGGACTCCCATGACCAACAGAAAACACTAGAAGGGTTTGGTGGACATTGACTTTGAGTTTGGGAGTTGTAGTTCACCTACATCCAGAGATCACTATGGACTCAAACAATGATGGATCTGGGCCAAACTTGCCACGAATCCTCCATATGCCCAAATACGAACACAGATGGAGTTTGGGAGGAATAGACCTTGACATTTGGGAGAGCATTCTGAACTCCACCAATGATGGAATTTAACCAAACATGGCATACAGAGTTCCCATGACCAACAGAAAACACTAGAAGGGTTTGGTGGACATTGACCTTGAGTTTGGGAGTTGTAGTTCACCTACATCCAGAGAGCACTGTGGACTCAAACAATGATGGATCTGGACCAAACTTGGCACAAATATTCCATATGCCCAAATATGAACATGGAGTTTGGGGAAAACAGACGTTGACATTTGGGAGTTGTAGTTACTGGGATTTATATTTCACCTACAATCAAAGAAAATGCCAAACCCCACAAATGACAGAATTGGGGAAAACTTCCCACACAGAACCCCCATGACCAACAGAAAATACTTAAGGCCATCCAGTCCAACTCCCTTCACCAGGGCAAGAAAACATAATCAACGCCCTCTTGACAAAGAGCCATCCAGCCATAGATATAGATAGATAGATAATGATTCACACACAGAGATATAGTATCATAGATTTGAAAGGGACTTCTAAAGAAGGAGAATTACATGTTGCATGTTCCAGAGTAGGCAAACCAGACAATCTCCATATCAATACTGAGAAAGAAACAACAAGAAGTACTGTTTACCCACAAGCATAAAGAAATTATATATATTAGAAACCAAATCTTTCTCATTATTTTATTTTCCAGATCACCAGACTGGGCCACAGCAACGTGTGGCAGGGGACGGCTAGTAGAATAATATGTAAATAGAATGTTTACAATGATTATGTGTTTTTAGCTATGTTGTAACCCTCGAGCCATGAGTAGAGGTGGGTAAGAAACAAAATTATATTATTATTATTATTATTATTATTATTATTATTATTACCACAACAAGATGAGTCCACAGCAGACAAGATCACTCTGCTGGCTGCTATTATTATTATCATTACTATTACTATTATTATTATTTCAAGTTGCCTAGAATTGGCCTAATTCCTTTTAAAGCTGCCTAATTTGGTGGCCATTCAGTATCTTCCCATCCTGAATTTCATATTTGAACGATGTGCCTTTATAGCTTAATTGATGCATCCCAGATTCCATATTTTAAATGTGTTGTTTTTTTGCCTCGAAGTTGACTTTGATTTAAAGCAATCCTATTTATTTATTTATCGTGTCAGGAGCAAACCAAACAGTTGTATTTTTTTAACAAACAAACGAACAAACAAACAAACAAAACACAAAGTTTGCAAGCTTGGTAGTCGATTAGATGTCCTTTGACCAGTAGCTGGCCACTTGGAGTGCCTCCGGTGTTACTATAAGAAGGTCCTCCATTGTGCGTGTAGAGGGCTCAGGTTGCATTGCAGCAGGTGGTCTGTGGTTTGCTCTTCTCCACACTCGCATGTCATGAATTCCACTTTGTAGCCCCATTTCCTAAGGTTGGGTCTGCATCTCGTGGTGCCAGAGCGCAGTCTGTTCAGCGCCTTCCAAGTTTCCCAGTTTTCTGTGTGCCCAGGGGGGAGTCTCTCATTTGGTATCAGCCATTGATTGAGGTTCTGAGTTTGAGCCTGCCACTTTTGGACTCTCGCTTGCTGAGGTGTTCCAGCGAGTGTCTTATGAATAAAGAGGTCCCTCTGAATACTATTCATCAACTGCCATATTCAGGACTCTGTCTTCCACAGTTGAATCAATCATCTGTAATATGGCCTTCTTTTTTTTGCTGCTGCCTTTCACTTTCCTAATCCTTACTATCTTTCCAATGAGCCATATTATCTCATGATGTGTCCAATTATGACAGCCTCAGTTTATCTTGGATTTTACTGAGAGTGTTGGCCTGATTTGCTACAGTCAACAGTCATGACTTGACAACAAACACAATCAGAATGCTATTTCATTCCTGACCATTGAGAATTCAGACATGTTTTTCCTTGTGAATGTGCCTATAATTCCAAATTACTTTCACTGATTGGCATGCCCACTACTTGATTACAATATAGGTTAAATGTTAAAATATTTGATATATGAAATTTTTGGAGAACTAAATTGTGCAGAATTAAGTACGCTGAAGGCTACTGATTTCAATGAACTTTGGCATGTCTAACTTTGCATTGATTTGCACATACAGATAAATCCTTACAGCTAGGATGTAATATTCTTTCTCTGGGGACATTCTATTATATTAAGCAAGATTTTAATTTTTGAAATCTTCTTGATCTAGATCAGGGGTCCTCAAACCTTTTAAACAGAGGGCCAGGTCACAGTCCCTCAAACTGCTGGAGGGCCGGATTATAATTTGAAAAAAACATAAATGAATTCCTATGTACACTGCACATATCTTATTTGTAGTGCAAAAAATACTTAAAAACAACACAATAATTAAAATGAAAAACAATTTTAACAAATATACACTTATTAGTATTTCAATGGGAATTGTGGGCCTGCTTTTGGCTGATGAGATAGGATTGTTGTTGTTGTTGTTGTTGTTGTTGTGTGCTTTCAAGTCATTTCAGATTTAGGTTGACTCTGAGCGGGGGCCAGGTTAATGACCTTGGAGGGCCATATCTGGCCCCCGGGCTTTAGTTTGTGGACCCCTGATTTAAGGCTTTAGTGTTCAAGTATTGGGAAGGATAGCCAATACTCCAGAGGACAGGAGCAGGATTCAAAATGATCTTGGCAGATTAGAGAGATGGGCCAAAACTAACAAAATGAAGTTCAACAGGGACAAATGCAAGATACTCCACTTTGGCAGGAAAAACGAAATGCAAAGATACAGAATGGGGGACAATGCCTGGCTCGAGAGCAGTACGTGTGAAAAAGATCTTGGAGTCCTCGTGGACAACAAGTTAAACATGAGCCAACAATGTAATGCAGCGGCAAATATAATAACATACTAGCTGTCCCCTGCCACGCGTTGCTGTGGCCCAGTCTGTTGATCTGGGAAATAAAGTAATGAGGAATTGTTGGTTTCTAATATATGTGATGCTTGTGGGTAAACAGTATTTCTTCCTGTTTCTTTGTCAGTGTTAATGTGGAGAGTGTCTTGTTTGCCCACCCTGGAACATGCAACATATCATTGTCCTTCTTTAAGGGTCCCTTTCAAATCTATGATACTATATCTGTGTGTGTGTGAATCATATCTATCTATCTATCTATCTATCTATCTATCTATCTATCTATCTATCATCTATCTCTCTCTCTCTCTCTCTCTCTCTCTCTCTCTCTCTCTCTATGGCTGGATGGCTCTTTGTCAGGAGAACTTGCCCTGATGAAGGGAGTTGGACTGGATGGCCTTAAGTATTTTCTGTTGGTCATGGGGGTTCTGTGTGGGAAGTTTGCCCCGATTCTGTTGTTCGTGGGTTCAGAATGCTCTTTGATTGTAGGTGAACTATGAATCTCAGCGACTACAACTCCCAAATGTCAAGGTCTATTTCCCCCAAACACCATCTGTGTTCATATTTGGGCCAAGTTTGGTCCAGCTCCATCATTGTTTGAGTCCACTGTGCTCTCTGGATGTAGGTGAACTACAACTCCAAACTCAAGGTCAATGCCCACCAAACCCTTCCAGTATTTTCTGTTGGTCATGGGAGTTCTGTGTGCCAAGTTTGGTTCAATTCCATCGTTGATGGAGTTCAGAATGCTCTTTGATTGTAGGTGAACTATAAATCCCAGCAACTACAACTCCCAAATGACAAAATCATAATTTTTTGAGTGATGGTCACTCCTTGTGTTGTGAGATGTTTTGTTGCCAAGTTTGGTGAGATTTCGTTCATTGGTTCTTTTGTTTTTAAGGAACTCATTATGCACAGAGCATTTTTATATAGATAGATAATATAATACAATATAATAATGCTGTGAGCCAATATGATTATTCTTCATCCAGACAGCAAATTAATATATTGTAAAATATTAATATTAATACTACTAATAATAACCCTGCCTTTCTCCTTTTCCAAACTCAGTTTATCTTACAACAAATTTAAAACATAGTTATTGTCTTCTTTTTTTTGTATATTGTTCACATGGCCGCAGGGCACCAATGGGACTTTCGGTTCCATTGCTTTTAGTAACTACATTTTAAAAAAGGCTTTAATTTCCAGAAGAGTAATCATATTGCAGACCACAACAATAAACTATTTGCTAAATTTTAATTTTAATATACTCAGCCTATTTAGTAGTCTTTTCCTTTTTCCGTTTCCTTCTTTCTTTTTTGGCTAGTTGATTAGTTTGAGCTTTTTACCAATAGCTCTGTTAGAGTTATGTACTAAATTTCAAAATTTCAAGATCTACCATAATTCCCCCTTAAAGTTTTGAACTTTTATAGGGATTTCAAAACATTTCAAAAATACAGCTCGTAGATGTGGTATTGAAAGAAAGGAGAAAGCTTTGCGCTCAAATCACATTCACACAAGATAGTATTATTGTTTCCAATTATGGACTATTCCAATTAAGAAAGAACTATGAAGAAAATTAAGCCTAAAATAGTCATTTGATACTCACATATCATCAGTCCCAAAAGACAAAGAATAGAAGATTTTCTGGCCATTTTCTCCTTTTTGGGGGACAAGGGGGGCCCGTCTTCGGAGAAGGCACAAGCGGAAGATCTGTCTGATGGTTGATGTGGCTGGACCTTCTTTCTGCGAAGGATATGATGTCAGTTGCCCCTCTAGTAGAAGTGGGGTGTTCTTTGAAGCGGAAAAGAATGGAACAAGAACAACCATGAAAAAGTCTTTTGTGTCCAGATTTTATCCCCAGTTATTGTTTTTCAGCCTTCCAGTAAGCAAGGTTTAAAATTATAATGTCTAAACAAGTATTATCAGTGCCAGGTTGCTTTATCTTGCATTCATCCTAGGAGATCAGGCAGCACATAAAGAGAGAAAAAACATCCTTCTTCTGCAAGGCACAGAAGTTATCTGACCTCGGAGGAAAGGAACCAGCAAACTGGTAGACTAGATACCTGCCGGGAGGGATCTGCAAAAGCAGGAACAGACCCGCAACTGCTAAGTTAGTCAAAGAAAGAACTATGAAGTGGTCTGCAAGTGTTTGTAGGTGTCCAAGAATAGTAGAACAGTTTATTTATTATTTATTTTATTATTAACTTTATTTATACCTCGCTAACTTCTCCCGAAGGACTCAAACTAAGGCCCAAGGGCCGAATACGACCCTCCAAGGTCATTTACCCGCCCTCGCACAGGGTCAACCTAAGTCTGAAATGACTTGAAAGCACACAACAACAATCCTATCTCATCAGCCAAAAGCAGGCCCACACTTCCCATTGAAATACTAATTATTATTATTATTATTAACTTTATTTATACCCCGCTAACATCTCCCGAAGGACTCAAACTAAGGCCCGAGGGCCAAATACGACCCTTCAAGGTCATTTACCCGCCCTCGCTCAGGGTCAACCTAAGTCTGAAATGACTTGAAAGCACACAACAACAATCCTATCTCATCAGCCAAAAGCAGGCCCACACTTCCATTGAAATACTAATAAGTTTATATTTGTTAAAATTGTTATTATTATTATTATTATTATTATTATCTTTATTTATACCCCGCTAACATCTCCCGAAGGACTCAAACTAAGGCCCGAGACCCTCCAAGGTAATTTACCCGCCCTCGCTCAGGGTCAACCTAAATCTGAAATGACTTGAAAGCACACAACAACAATCCTATCTCATCAGCCAAAAGCAGGTCCACACTTCCCATTGAAATACTAATTATTATTATTATTATTATTATTATTATTATTATTATTATCTTTATTTATACCCCGCTAACATCTCCCGAAGGACTCAAACTAAGGCCCGAGGGCCGAATACGACCCTTCAAGGTCATTTACCCGCCCTCGCTCAGGGTCAACCTAAGTCTGAAATGACTTGAAAGCATACAACAACAACAATCCTATCTCATCAGCCAAAGCCTGGCCCACACTTCCCATTGAAATACTAATTATTATTATTATTATTATTATTATTATTATTATTATTATCTTTATTTATACCCCGCTAACATCTCCCGAAGGACTCGGTGCGGCTTACAAGAGGCCAAGGCCCAACACATCAATAAAACAACAGCATAACAAATACAACAATAAATAAACTTATAAAGCAAAACAATAAACATTAAAACAATAGAAATAAACATTAAACAATAACACCACGATGCATTTAAAAACTGAGGCCGGGCCAAATGTAATGAATAAAATTTAAAAAAATTTAAAAATGCTGGACATGACAGGTGAAATGGATAAGTTTTTGGAGATAGGTGCGGTGTGCAGACAATCTTAAATCTCTAGTAAAGTGCATTTGGGACATGATGCTTGGAGTTTCCTATTCTGGGAAGGCACATTGGAACAACCACGTCTTCAAGCTCTTCCTAAAGACTGCCAACGTTGGGGCTTGTCTGATGTCCTTGGGTCGGGGGGCCACCACAGAGAAGGTCCTGTCCCTTGTCCCCACCAAACACGTTGTGACGCAGGTGGGATCGTGAGCAGGGCCTCTCCAGATGATCGGAGAGATCGTGTGGGTTCATATACGGAGATGCGGTCACGCAGGTAGGCGGGTCCCAAACCATTTAGGGCTTTGTAGGTAAGCACCTGCACCTTGAATTGGGACCGGAAAATGAACGGCAGCCAATGGAGCTCCTTAAACAGGAGGGTTGACTTCTCTCTGTAAGGAGCACCAGTTAACAACCTGGCCTCCGCCCGTTGGACCAGTTGGAATTTCCAGGCCGTTTTCAAGGGCAGCCCCACGTAGAGCGCATTACAGTAGTCCAATCTGGAGGTGACCAAGGCATGGACCACCCTGGCCAGATCTACTATGGTGATAGATCTACTATCCCTAAACACAGAATATTGGGTGTGTCACTTTCCACATGGAGAAAGTGGTACAATAGCTTAGTGATAGTGAGAGAGTGGCAATTTTCTATAAGGATAATCCAGGATTGCACATTTTGAATGGCACTGGATCACCAAAATGGCTTTTTTCTTATCTAAGGTCTTATCAAAATGTTGACATCGCTTCATTACTTTGTTGATACATTTCATTTCTTTGCATAACTTTCATCCAAACTGGATTAGCCTGGTGTCTTTTTATGTCAATGCTGAAGTTGAGGCAACGAAGCTGATGAAACCATAGATCACAATCCTCAGCTGTTGCAAGAAATTCACACAGACAGACTACTAACTAAGACAAAACTCTGTGGCCCAAATGATTCACTGGAACTTAAGTCACAAGTACCACTTGCCAGTAGTAAAGAACTGGTGGGATCATAAACCTGCAAAGGTCGTAGGAAATGAACACACAAAAATACTGTGGGATTATCGAATCCAGACTGACAAAGTTTTGGAACACAATACGCCAGACATCACGATTGTGGAAAAGAAAAGAGTTTGGATTATTGATGTCGCCATACCGGGTGACAGTCACATTGAGGAAAAAACAACAGGAAAAACTCAGCCAATATCAGGACCTCAAAATCGAACTGCAAAGGCTCTGGCATAAACCAGTCCAGGTGTTCGCAGTGGTTATCGGCACACTGGGTGCCATGCCAAAAGATCTCAGCCGGCATTTGGAAACAATAAACATTGACAGAATCACGATCTGTCAACTGCAAAAGGCCACCTTACTTGGATCTGCATGCATAATTTGAAAACGCATCACACAGTTCTAGACACTTGGGAAGTGTTCAACTTGTGATTTTGTAATACGAAATCCAGTATATAGATCTTGTTTGCTGTGTAATACTGTGTTTTGTGTCAGTAAAACAATAATAATAATAATAATAATAATAATAATAATAATAATAAAGACAATACCGGAAAATGATCCAGTTCCGAGCACAATTCAAAGTGCTGGTTTTGACCTACAAAACCCTATACGGTTCCGGCCCAGCGTATCTGTCCGAACGCATCTCCCTCTACGTCCCGCCTCGGAGTTTAAGATCTTCTGGGGAGGCCCTGCTCTCGGCCCCACCTCTATCACAAGTGAGATTGGTGGGGACGAGGAGCAGGGCCTTCTCGGTGGTGGCCCCTCACCTGTGGAATTCACTCCCGGGGAAATTAGGTCATCGACATCCCTCCTCTCTTTTAGAAGGAAATTAAAAACATGGATATGGGACCAGGCTTTTGGGTAATCTGGCAGATAGACAAAGGACAATGACGACTAGAATTGATAGGATTTGACAATGTGGAATGAATTTACGGATTTTGAGCTGGCGAACGTTGAGCATTAGATTGGTTTTATTGATTGTGATGTATAATTGATTGTTTTAATTGTTTATAATTGCTGTTTATATATGTTTTATCTTATTGTTTGTGTTGGCATCGAATTGTGCCTTTTGTAAGCCGCCCTGAGTCCCCCCTCGGGGGTTGAGAAGGGCGGGGTAGAAATGTGCGAAATTAATAATAATAATAATAATAATAATAATAATAATAATAATAATAATACCGGAAAATGCAGGGATAGAATACAATGGCTCTGGAGCCTGGATAATTCCATAATGGGACAGGAGAACTGCACAATAAATGATTTGCTTGGAAACAGTCAGCATCTAGGCTGTCAGTCAAGTATTTTGAGATGGCAGCATATTGCACTGAAACTGTCTATAACATAAAACTTCATACCATAATAAGCAACTACACATGCATAACACAACATATTGTACTGATTTTATAGTTACGGTAGTTTGTTGCTGTAACAGAACGGAAAAAAGATCAGATTTCTGATGTATGGTGACCCCAAGATGAACCTATTCTGGGATTTTATTGATGGGATTTCTCTCTGCTTTCCTCTGAGGCTGAGACTTGTCCAAGTTCATTCAATGGGTTTCCATGGCCAAGTGGGGATTCCAATCCTGGCCTAATGCTTAGTTTACTACACCATGATGGTTCTTAGCTGCAGTAGGACTATTGCACTATGAATTCAATCAAGGAAATCACTTTCACATATTGCACTCCAGAGGCAAACCTGCAGCAAAAACTCCGATTTCAATTTTCCTCAACACTTTTTCTGGATTCAAGTCACATTGGTCTTGGCAGCAGGAATCCTCATCGTATTGTCCAAGGTTATCATGGCTGGAATCACTGGGTTGTTGTAGGTTTTTTGGACTGTATGTCCATGTTCTAGAAGCATTCCCTCCTGACGTTTCACCTGCATTGTTTCAGACTTAGGTTGACCCTGAGCGAGGGCCGGGTAAATGACCTTGGCCCCCAGGCTTTAGTTTGAGGACCCCTGTTCTACGCCAAGGAACCTGTTGTCCATGGACACCTTCCTGATCGAGTTGCCGGCATGTTTCAGGGGCACCTTTTACCTCCTTGCTACAACAGTACCTATTTATCTACTCACATGGCTGTTTTCGAACTGCTAGGTAACCAGAAGCTAGGGCTGACAGCAGGAGCTCACCCTAAATCCGGTTGGCAGGATTTTCTATAGCTGGCTGCTTAACCCGCTGTGCTAACCACAGCCCCAACTTATACAAGACTCCAATAACATGTTCAGTTCATTAGTTTTAATAAAATGTTCGTTGAGATTTTTTTGTATTATTGTATAGGGAAATGGTCCCTAATATTTCCATGTTATTATTGCCCCTAGAATCAAATTTACTGTTAAAAAAGTAATTCCCAGGAACAAGCTGATTCATTAACCAAAGTATACCTACATACATATATAATGTAAAATAAATTTTGAGGATTATTTAAAAAAAATGATCCATTGCCAAAAAACGTTCCTTATGATCCAAATATGAGTTTACAGTAAACTTGGCAGCTTGGTTACTCATAACGAAACTTCCTTTATATTTCACTTTTGAGATAGCCTGCCACCAGCAATGGAAATAATCTATTAATAGCTTCTTATTTTAATGCAACATACTTTACAATCCCACAGACCACTCACACTTGTTATTAATGAATTATATGTTGAATTATCTCAAATTTAATACCTCACTTAAAGAAACTATAAAGGCTTA